GGGATTGACTCCCTTTTGGAGCCAGTCTCTAGCGGCCAGTCGATGAATTGCAGTTTAAGTCACTTCCGTGTTGGTTTCAAGAGAGAGACCGGAAGGTTGCCGCTTGGGAAAAACATTTCATTCGCGATGCGTCTGCCATATTATTTCAGCGGATATTCTGTATCGTAGCAACCGCAGCATCTCAACCACTGATCTATAATAGAGACCTGGATTGCTCATGACGTCATAAAAGTGAAGCCACCGCGCCGCCATATTGGTATAGTATCCCCATACATTCTATTGAATTAATAGGAAATCGTACAATTTTAATGAGAAAACATCACCTAACGAGTCAGCATTTTCATATCTGAAGTATCCCTGTACATTCTTACAACGCAAACCTCCTGAGCATGTAAATGGTTATTTGTTTAATGTCGGGAATTTCCCCCTGCGTATTAAAAAGTTACATGTCCTATAAATTACCGTAGCGAATATCAGATGAACACGATGAACATCAGATGGACAAATCCACAACATATGCATTTCAAATGGCAAAGTGCTCATGAAATCTGAATCAAGATTTATGCTTTGTATGTATGCGTTAATTCGCCTTGTACATTCATGGTTTATGTAATTGTTGTTTTTTATTCGTAATAAACGTTGGTTCAATTAATAATTAATTAAACATACACGATACACATTACTCCTGTAAACTGTAATGCTAAAATGCCATATAATTTGCGCCATCTTGAGGAGTCTGAAATAGATATTACTCCCTCAGAACAGAAAATAATACACGCATGATAACTTATTCAGAGAAATAACACTGACTGCGTATGTTATGGACTTAAAGACATGAAGCTTTATTTCCAAGATGATGCATGGTAAGCTTTGAATTGCAATACAATATAGAGCAATATAGTAACAGGCTTGTATTGTAATATGTATTGCATATCCGAATCAATTTCACATACTAATACCAGATATATATATATATTCATGTTTAATATTTCCTGCATAATTATGTACATAAAGAAATATATTTTGTGTTGGATCAGTTACCTGTGTCAGCAAGTGTGTAGCTGACACACCCACCTAAACGATTTCAATATATCGCTTATCTTGCCCGAAAAGACCATAAACATTGCAGATAACATCTTAAGTAAAAATTCATTTACATATATCTTAAAAACTAATCCCGTGTGACTGATACGCTTCAAATCGGGTGATTTTAGGTCAGTGTTTTGGCTGTCAGTCAATGAAGCTCTCAGCCTGTAGGAAATAGTAAGATGGCCGCTGGAACACTTCTGGTGGCTTCACCGCTGAATGGCAGTTTAGAACGCGATGAGCAATCCAGTCATACATATAGATCAGTGGTCTCAACTGAAAAAAACCCTGCGCTCTCAAGCGCTCACAGCTGGGTGTTTTCACCAGAGCGCCTGGCGTTTTCAGCTGGCTAAAAACGCTTTGGTGGACACGCGGCCTTAATGTCTATATAATTAAAATAAGATCATTATATTTTTCAAACTTTTTTCTGTACAAAAATCCAATTTTGTCCATTTAGGAAAATCATATTATAATCTCTCAGAAATATTTTGTGCAAATGTTTCAGTTTGCCTGAAATTGCCTTGTCCCTTAAATTATTTATTTTTTATAATTTTATTATTATATAATTATTTATTAAATTATTTATTGCAGTGTCCCATTTATTTATTTATTTATTTTTTCATTGAGTGGGTCAAAATAAGGCAACATTATCTATATTAAATTTATTTGTAAAATCTAGATACTTCGGAAAAATAAGATTTTTTTAATTGAATATTATTATTATTATTATTACTACTAAACAGTAATATCATAATATTATCATTAATAACAATAATAATGCTGATTCTTTTACTAACAGTAATAATATCATAAGATCATCATCATCAACAATTAAATACTTAGAAATACTTGAGATTATTATTATTATTAACAGTAATATCATAATGTTATCATTAATAATCATATTTTTATTTTACTAACAGTAATAATCTCATAAGACCATCATCAACAACAACAATTAAATACTAAAAATAAGAGTTTTTAAATTGAGTTTTTTTTTTATTAGTAGTAGTAGTAATATTATCACTAATAATAAAAATATTTTTTATATATTTTACTAACAGTAATAATATCATAAGACCATCAACGACAACAACAGCAATTAAATACTTAGGAAAAATAAGAGTTTTTAAATTGAGTTTATTATTATTATTATTATTATTATTATTATTAACAGTAATAATATCACAATATTATCATTAACAACAACAACAATAATAATAAAAAGTTGTCTCTTTCATGTGCAACAGAACATTTTGTCAGTCACTTGGTTTCTATGTCTGCACCATCTCACTGTCCAGTGATAAATCCAGCGACATATTTCTTGTTGCTGAACTTGGTTAGCAGCGATGGATTAACCATAAGGGCATCTGGACCGCACGTCCAGAGGGTCACCATACAGAGCTGTATAAATGTTTTCAAACCGCAGGAGACGCCGAAGACCTCTCCCCGACTGCATGGCCAAAGATGAGCCAACACAACAGTGAATGTTAATTGGCCCCTGTGATGGAGAACGATTGGTACTCTGTGGATCTCACAGCTGGGGGCCCCTGGGAGTCCCAAACATGCCCCGTCACTAATCCTGCCCCATTCGCTCTCAGTCTCTCTCTCTCTCTCTCTCGCGCTCTTTTCCGCTCTTTCTCAGGCAGACAGTTTTTAAGCAGTTTTTCTGCATCCCACACTCTATTAGTATGCAGAGAGGACACGTTTTGAATTATGGTGGAAAGAAAAGTGACATTGATAACACCAAACAAAGGCAAACAGTTCTGCTCTTTCTCATTTCATAAAGTGAGAACATCAAGATGTGAGAGCGAGGTGTGTGTGCGTGAAAGAGAGAGGCGGCAGCTATTGTTTTACTCATTAACATGATTTTAGTTCTGTGCAGACTGCAAATTGACACGAAACAGAAACAGCCACACCGATGCAACGTTTTTATGTGTGTGTATGTTTGTGTGTCGTCAGGCTTGTCGTCACGGACATGTGCAGCATCTGGAACACCTGCTGTTCTACGGAGCAGACATGAGCGCTCAGAACGCTTCTGGAAACACTGCCCTGCACGTGTGTGCTCTCTATAACCAGGTAACACACTCATTCACCCATACTGTATGTATTCGCTTAGCAACCAGATAACACACACATATACACACACGTCAGGCTCAGATGCCTGAACCCACAAGGACACACTCAATCATACTGCCTGAAATATCTGCACTCTTTTCAGCCAGGTAAAACAATCAGATGCAGACATCTATATGTAAGTGGCATTAGCAATTAGTATAATGTGTAATATGTTGTAAGTATCAGAGTTAATGAGCGTATACAAAGCAGCAAGGTCACAGATTGTTCATGCAGTCACACAGAAACACTGCACTAATGTAACATCCAGTCTGGATGAAGTCAGTTACAAACAGATCAATAACATCTAAACTACAAAAACATGAAGAAAAGAGGACACCATGCAATGAAACTTCAACTTCTAAAACATAAAAATAGTGCTCTGAGTATTAAAGAAAGATCCTAGATCATAGTTCAACCGTTGACGTCTAATGATATTCTGTAAATTCATTTCTTCAAGTTTGGACTCGCATGCACAGCACCAGGCATCTCACATCTTTCTGATAGCACAGATATGTTAGAGCCGTATGATATGAATACCCTACATTTCTGCCACAATACCACAGTTACAGTTAGTGCTACAACAGTAAATCCATTGTAAATGTTGGTGATTTGTGGATTGTAAAGTCCTCCTGTTTCTCCGTCAATGTTGTTAAGAATGTCAGTGCTGTTTCATCTGCCTTTAAACTAGTTTCAGTCACCGCGACATCTGTGGATTGTATTGGAGACCTCTGCTCCAAACTCAAATGCTTCTCATGGAATCTCACAGTTCTGTTGAGTGGTCGCGAGTGAATGCATTTGTTTCATTTTGTGTGTGTGTGTGTGTGTCTGTGTCTGTCTGTGAGTACTAATTTTACAGCAGTGGTTTCTGTTTATCTTCATTCAGCTCATTATAATGAGATTAAACTACAGCTGACCTGCACTAATGTAACATCCAGTCTGGATGAAGTCAGTTACAAACAGATCAATAACATCTAAACTACAAAAACATGAAGAAAAGAGGACACCATGCAATGAAACTTCAACTTCTAAAACATAAAAATAGTGCTCTGAGTATTAAAGAAAGATCCTAGATCATAGTTCAACCGTTGACGTCTAATGATATTCTGTAAATTCATTTCTTCAAGTTTGGACTCGCATGCACAGCACCAGGCATCTCACATCTTTCTGATAGCACAGATATGTTAGAGCCGTATGATTGATTGATTGATTGATTGATTGATTGTATGATTGATTGATTGATTGATTGATTGATTGATTGATTGATTGATTTTTCTCAGTCAATTGGAAGTTGTCCTAGCATATTTCTAGGCAAAAAAATGGAAGAAAAAATTTGCTTTAGGATGTCCTCAGAAGTAAGCTAAATCCGTCAAAAACTCATTTTGTTGGTGTTTAAGTTGACAAAAGAATGTAAAAGAATGGCCTGAAGTTGTATCTTATGGTCAGGGATAGTTTATTGTTATAACTTGCTGTATGTCCCATAGTGACATATAGAATTAGCCTATTTAAGAGCAAGAGAAGTCCTCTAGAGAAGTACACTAAATCTGTCAAAAACTTTTTTGTGGACATTCTTAGACAGAAAATTGGCTCGGGAAGAGACTAAATAATGTCCAAATTTGTATTTTAGTGTTATGGCTAATACATGTGTAATATAACTTATTTGTTTAATCATAATTAGCTTGTACAATCATGTTGGATCAGAAATCAGTTGAATGCCTTTATGCAGGTAAGCTATACAAGCACACGTTTGTGTGAAATAGTGTGACCTCTTGTCATACTTCGATAAATTTGCTAGAAAGTGTCCTCAAAAGTTATCTTTTAAAAATCCTTTGAGACATTCTTTGAGAAGGACAGATTACTCTAAAAGTAATTACAAGTGTCCAAAGGTTGCATTTTATGGTCAACTAGTATGTTTATCCAATATTTAAGTATATAAGTAATATAATTCAAATTTGTTTGTTTTGAAGTCAAATTTGATAGTCATTTTGAAGCACTCCATGCATACAGTATTTCTAGATAAATGTGTTTGGGAGTTTGTTTCAATTCGTATTTTAAGGACGAATTTTCTAAACAGTGTCCTGAGAATTTAGCTAAATCTGTCAAAAACTCCTTTTGTTGATGTTCTCAAAAAACATAATGTGCTCATAAAAGGAATAAATAATGTCTAAATCATGTCCAAAAGTTGTATTTTATAGTCAGCGCTAGTTTATTTTTATAATTTACTGTATATCCTGAAGTTATATATAAAATTAAGACATATGAGTTTGTGTGAGTTTCATACTTTAAGGTCAATTCATTGTACTTTAAAAAGTGTGCTCAGGAGTTTGCTAAATCTGTCATGAAGTAGGTAAATGTGTGTGTGTGCGTGTGTGTGTGTGTGCGTGTGTGAAAATCTAAAAATGCAGAAAGTTACCTGTAAGGTTTAGGTTTAGGGTGGGTGTAGGGCGATAGAATATACGGTCTGTACAGTATAAAAACCATTACGCCTATGGAGAGTCCCCACAAGTATAGCAAACCAGACGTGTGTGTGTGTGTGCGTGTGTGAAAATCTAAAAATGCAGAAAGTTACCTGTAAGGTTTAGGTTTAGGGTGGGTGTAGGGCGATAGAATATACGGTCTGTACAGTATAAAAACCATTACGCCTATGGAGAGTCCCCACAAGTATAGCAAACCAGACGTGTGTGTGTGTGTGCGTGTGTGAAAATCTAAAAATGCAGAAAGTTACCTGTAAGGTTTAGGTTTAGGGTGGGTGTAGGGCGATAGAATATACGGTCTGTACAGTATAAAAACCATTACGCCTATGGAGAGTCCCCACAAGTATAGCAAACCAGACGTGTGTGTGTGTGTGTGTGTGTGCGCCCTTATGAGTGCTCAGCGGTGATAGCGAGTTTTAAGGACTCTCTGTGGATGTTTAGCTCAGGCTCAGAGGAGATGTTAGAGTGGATCGATTCCCAGAAAGGGACTCTGAGAGGACGTATCAGCCTGAGGAGAGAGGCATTACTGGATAGACGAGGGAAAATCTACGAGGACAATGATGGAAGAAGAGACAGAGAGAGTGTGAAATAGTGCTAAAATGATGAGGAGAGCAGGAGGAGGTGAAAGAGGAAGAGACGACCACCTGATGTGGAACAGAAGAGTGAATTCACAGCTACGGATAATAAGACGGCTGATGAGATTTGTCTGTGTGTGGGAGGTCAGGTTTTGCTCGCTTTGTGAGGACCAAATGTCCAATTGAAGACAATAAAAGAGGCCACCCACCTCTCGCTCTCCACAATCAAATGTCTCATTATCCATCAACAGCAAGTCTCCATGCATATTTCTAGGCAAATGTGTGTTTGTGTTGTATAAAAATATTTAGGCCTAAATTAAACATTTCCATGCATTTTGATTACACAGTTTTAACATTAATACAATTTAATAAAACGCACATTTGTCAGTTATGCATAAATGAAACGGGTAAGATTTCTGCACTCCTAAAAAAAAAAAATAAAAACCATGGCATAATTTATTATTGACTATTTGCATCTATTTGGTTTTACTTAATCATATTTTCAAAATGCATTTTTTCAAATAGCTTAGAATCAGAATAAATCTGTTAATTGAATCCAATTAAAAACAAGTGAAAACAATTAAATTAATTCAGTTAAAATGTATGAACATGGTTTGAATATGACTAGCTGTGGAACAAGCAATATTCAGTTAATTAAAATGTATGGGTTTGAAACAAATGTATTTATTGATAAACATAAACCTGGTTACTGTGTTTTTAAAACATTCAGTTCATTAGTATATTTACAGAAATCATACCTATTTTTTACCAGTTTCATTTATGTATATCTGACAATTATATATTTTAACTTCACATTAAGTTTATTAGATTATGTCAAAACTGTGTAATTCAAATGCATGGAAAAGTTATATGCAATTCAAATACAAAGCATACCGCTAGGATGTTGTGGGTTTTTGTTGGGCGTTGCTGTGTGGTTGCTAAGGATTTATTGTGTGATTGTTAGCATTGTTATGTGATTGCTAGTGTGTTCAGTGTTATGTGCTTTGTTGCTGAACAGAAAATCTGACCATAAACTCATTTTTCAATGAATGTCTTGTTTGCATATCCGTTATTGGAATGATTTATGTCTTTAATGTATGCTGGTGTATTATTTTGGTATCACTAATTTCATGTACACTGTAGTTGACCTTTGATGGCCTCATTCTGTCTAAGTGGACAGTTCATGGCCAAAATGAGCTGCAAAGTAAATCAGACTTTATGGCGACTTTATCCCATCTGTCTCTGTGAGTCTAGTGTAACAGGGATGTCCAGGATCTTAGTTGTGTTCTTATAAAGTTTCACCACTAGAGGTCACATGTTGCTCTATTGTCCAGCAGACATTCAGTCCATTGAAACGTCACATTGGCATAAAAGGCCACATTTAGTAAAGTTTGTGTTTTCATACTACTGTTTCTCCAGACCGCTGCAGCTCTGATGACTTTTGATTTATTATTTTACAGTAGTGTATATAGCATATTATTTTTCAGTTCTGATTGTTTGTGTCCTTTAAATGGATCAATAGTGCAGAAGAGCGTATCAGAGATAGAGAGCAAAAGACAGAAAGAAAGAGGGAAAAAAATCTGTGTGATGTGGAAGCTCAATCATCGTTCCGTTAATTCACTCTGCAGTCGAAATTACATATTGATTTTTGCACAGAGCCGTAGCATTAAAAACATGCAGTGCTCCACTCTGTCTCCTGTATGACAGACTGTGTTCCCAATAGCATACTATCATACTACTGACATACTGATATTTTTGCAGTATGTACTGTATAGAATGCATGGAACCAGGCGATGTATTCCACAATGCAAAAGACTTGACTTGACCTTCCATGAATGGACCAGGTGCAGTTTGTTTCTTGACTCATTATTTGAACCAACTTGCATAAATTGAGACATCTTTTCACAAAATGTGACTAGCAATACTAATTATTGTGTGTGTGTGTGTGTGTGTGTGTGTGTATACTGTATATATTTATTTATTTATTTATGTATTTATTTTTCATATGACAAGCATAGTGGAGTCATATGATAATAGTAATGCAGCATGCTACTATTTTATAATAGTATTTCACTTGTTATTTTTAAACAGTTGCCATTATACATCCTAAGGCATTTCTATTAACCACAAGACTCATAAAGATAATTAAAGACACGTTGAGTGTCTTTCAGATGAACTGCTCTCAGACACATATAATCTAGTATGAGCATATCCCATGAGAGATACCATATCCCACAATGCAGTGCACTCAACTTGACCTTCCATTTCCAGTTGATTTCAGCTCCACTTTCTTCCTCTGTTCAGAAAGTTTTAATATCATTTTGTAATGTTTTTGAAAGAAGTCTCTTATGTTCACCAAGGCTGCATTTATTAATATAGTAAAAATGGTAATATTGTGAAATATTATTACTATTTAAAATAACAATTTATATTTTAATATATGTAATTTATTCCTGTGATGACAATGAATTTTCAGCAGTCTTCAGTGTCACATGATCCTTCAGAAAGCATTCTGATATGCTGATTTGATGCTCAAGAAACATTTATTATTATTATCAATGCTGAAAACAGCTGTGCTGCTTATAATTTTTGTGGAAGTAAATTTTTTTATGATTCTCTGAAGAAAAGAAAGATAAAAGAACAGCATTTACTTGAAATTGAATTTTTTGTTACATTATAAATGTTTTACTGTCACTTTTGATCAATTTAATGCATCCTTGCTAAAATAAAAAAATAAAATGATGTCCACACACGTTGGAACAGTAGCTGTAAAAAAAAAAATTATAGTTATATATAAAATTATATAGTTATATAACCAATTATCTATCTGTTTTTACCAGAGACACTTTTAATTTGTGTGTTTGAGAGAGAGACAGAAAGGAAGTGCACTACAAGTGTAATTAAATATCAGCACACAGGTTCCCCTGAAGGTGTGTTAGTGGGCCAAGAGATGCTTTCTCACCACTGTTAGGAAACTAGGACACCAATCCCAGCTGAGTCATGTCTGTGTGGTACAGCTCCTAAATGTGTGTGTGGAGTGTCAAAACTGTCTACAGAGAAAGAGAGAGAGAGAGGGATGATAGCCAGATGCTGTGCTGACCTTCTGAACACTCCGTCTCAGATGCCCATAGAGAAACACTGCCATTAGAGCAGCTCTGTGTTCGTGTCTCTCTCTCTTTCTCTCTCTCTCTCTGTTTTTCTCTCTGATAGCAGACCTACATATGAGCTGGTGAGCTAATTGGTCCCAGTGGAACATCAGTTTTGTCATTTCTGTTGTTGTGAAAGCAACACGCATGCACACAAACACACTCATCCCGCTCCAAAACTTTCTAGGGCAAATTTTCATGGACATGCAATGCACACGTTTTACTAGCGACAAATTATCACGACGCTTGTAATCTCTCTGTTTGTCTCTCTCCAGGATAGCTGCGCGCGAGTGTTGCTGTTCAGAGGGGCGAATAAGGAGATTAAGAACTACAACAGCCAAACTGCCTTCCAGGTGAGAGCGCACAACCTCTGGGTTCCTGGAGATCAAACACCGTGGAAGAGTCAGTGGAGCTGGATCTTATTTAAACTGATGCTGTCGTTCACAGCCCACAGAGCCAAACTGTATTTAACTTAAGGCCAAGAGCAGTTTCAGGGCAGCGTTTTGAGAATTCTCCCTGGCCTTCTTGTGCCGTGAAGACATCTACCTAGATAACATTTGTAGGCACTTCTGACGAAAAGGCTGGTAGGCCTTTCTTGATTTGACCTAAATTTACGTTAGCACTTTTGCAACTACCTCAGTGTAAGGGGATGGTGGACAGTGTAAAAGGAAATGTTGATTGTAAATATAAACATATTTTAATCAATGGTACAATGGAAAGGTGATGGTATAAGATGTTACATAAATCTAAAATTTTATATAAACAGTGGTACTATAAATATTTAGAAGAAATAAAGGCTATGGTACCATGTAAAAATATAACTGATAAGAAACCATGGTACTTTTTAGTACTTTTGTTGGTTTACTATGGTATTACCATCATGCCAGTGTCTGAAATCTATATGTACGTTACCATTCAAAAGTATAGGGTCAGTAGGATTTGTGTCAAATGTTTTTGAAAATCTCTTTTGCTCACCAATGCTGCATTTATTTGATTAAAATTACTGTAAAAACAGAAAATTTGTGAAATATATATTGTTTTCTATTGTAATATACTTTAAAATGTAATTTATTCCTCTGATGCAAAGCTGAATTTTTGTGGAAACCATCATACAGATTTTTTCAGGATCATTTGATAAATACAAAGTTCAAAAGAACAGCATTTATTTGAAATAGAAAACTTTTGTATCAAATGTCTTTACTGTAACTTTTGATCAACTTAATGCATCCTTGCTGAAATACAGTATTATTAAAAATAAAATTTTGTACAGAGTTCAACCTTTTAAACAAATATTGTAATATGCTTCAATTTTTCAATCTGTCTGGTTCACACTACCCCTTCAAACAGCATAGTCCACTAGTTGTTGGGTTTTGCTGAATCTGTGTATTAACCATGTTAGCATTTGTTGGTTCAGTGTAAGCAGCATGTCAACATGACAAGTCAAATGGGTCACTCGTGCCCTTTTGGTCCACATGTACAATATGATGCTTCATGTAAACATACTAACAGCATATTGGGATTGGTGTTTATCTGCATCTGTTCCATGATGCTCGCTGCTTGAACTCAGTACAATTGATGTTGACACAGATTTTCTGCTCAGATCAAAGTTAATTTGTTAGTACAAGGGGAGGGGGAACCCGTGCGGCTGCATAAACCAACAAGGAAACCATTAGACAGCTGCTTTGATTTAGCTTTTAGTGAGGAAAAGTTAATTAGCCCTCACATTCGTAAAAAAGAGAGAGAGTTATCATATTAGACAGAATTACATGAGTTATTGGTCTGTGGTCTTTATTTGAGACCTGTTTGTTCACCGTACATGTACAAAAAAATTACCATGGTGCAGTGGTGTACCATGTAAATTTGAGTGTAATAGGCCTACTATGGTACTACTTTGTAGGGCTGGGTATTGACACAGAATTCACAAATATGTTTAAATCTGATTCACAAGTTTTTACATTAATCTGATTAGATATTGTTTTGCTTGGTATATATATATATGTGTGTGTGTGTGTGTTTGATATATATCAAATACAGTACATGTCAGTTTTTCTTAAGGAAAACAATTTCTCAAGTTAAGCTATAACTTATACAAGAAACTCTGTCAGTTGGTACACAGTCCAGATTTAATTGCTTTTTATTTTTAGATATAATGTAAAATAAAAACGTTGTATACAAACATTTAAATTGCACACAAGTTGTTATATGAACATTTTAATTATATAATTATGTTTCTATTTTACTACAATTTGTTGTTGAAATATAAACAGTGGATAAACGGTGGCTGTCATAACTTATTTTCATGACAGATGTATTCAATCATTCAATAAATGAGACACCACTAGGAATATAGTGAATATGTAATATAGTGCATATTTTTAGCGAAATGTTCCTGTCTACAGTTATTTTTTTCTAGATAGCTATCGAGCTATATGGGAAATGAAGGCTTTCCTGTTATATGGCATGTTTACAAGCTGTTTTGTTGATGACTTTCCGCGAATAAATAACACTGATTGCATGAGACGTGATGCATTTCAGTAGGTTGTACTGGATCTTTCAGCATACCTTTTGATGTTCATTCATGTTTACTTCTTGCTGTAACTGCTAGTGAAACGGAAGAGACGCTTGAACTGAGGCGACTACATCGTATTTCACGCCACACGAAACTGACAGAATTTGAAAGCTAAGACTTTCTGGCGCGCTACAAATAATATTTAGCATAAACAGAAAATAGTCTAAATAGACTAAAATATTGATCTTGGTATTTAAGAACTGATATCGGTTTATCAAGATATTGCACAATGTTGTCAGCCCAACCCTAGTGCTTTAAATTATACTGTAGTACATCCTGCATAGCTTCACTCCTTATTCTGACACTCAGCCATAGAATCAATATTTCATGTCCAGTAATTTAATTATTTGTAAACAGGATCATGTACAGTCATTCATACTAATTTTGTAGTAGCCAATGACTGACAACTGACTGTGCATTATTGCTTATGAATTGCTGGCTTAGTTTTTTGGGTAACATAACATCCTGTTGCATGCAGTGTTATAAATCTGTAACTGGGGGTTTTGTTTGCCCAGGGATGTTTGGCAGAAATATAACCCATTTTTCTTTCTCTCTGTAGGTGGCTATTATAGCTGGAAACTTTGACCTGGCAGAAATTATAAAGACTCACAAAGCATCAGATGTTGGTAAGTGGCTTGTATATGGTATCTCCACCATCATTAGCTGCTATTGAATTTGCAAGTAAACGCAGACAATCCCTTGTGTTAATGAATCCTTACAAACGCTTCAGAGCACCACGGCCAGGAAACATGAAAATGAGAGCGCCCCCTTGTGTGTCCGTGTGTGTTTGAGAGTCTGCAGCGTTCAGGTGAATGAGAGTCATCACTCTATTCGCCCGCGTCAACGGCAAGGCTAGCTCATTCGTGTGCTGCCAGTTGTCGCACCGCTGTAATGGATCGTACCCATTAGTGTGGAGTACCATTGTCATGGCGACGGAGCGGGGTTAATCCCCGAGGCTCAGCAGGTGTTGGGTGTTTGATTTGAGCCAATGGGAGTGTAGCCGCAGGCTCTGGTATCTCATCAGAACCGCGTGTGACCTCGATGAAGGATGGGACGTACGCTCTCACGCACACACAGATTCAGAACCCGCCTTAAAACACACCGTTTACAGGACGGGAGCTGGTATTTTGTCACTAATGCTGAAGCTTCTCAGGATGTGCCCATTCTTTGTCTTTCTCCACTCATTTCCTTCCCATCAGTCACCGAGTGAGAGGAAAAGAGAGTGAGCGAGTGTGTCCTGAGTGGGTTGGACGGTTGGCCTTTTCACTCTGAATGGATGGGCTGAAGAGTTGAGGATTTAAACAAGCAGACAGCATGACTACAGAGCGCAGTATTTACACTGCTTAAACAAGCAGCCCATCTTACTGTAAGTGGCCCTTAGATGTTTTCTCAGGGTGAAACTATTGAAGGAGGAGTGATTTTAATATGCGAATAGTAATATATATGATAATTTTTAGTACTGTCAATTTGACTTAAAGGCACAATATGTCATTTTCGCCGTTAGAGGGCGCGTATTCAAAATAAACAAATAGACAAAGGCGTAGTTTGATGACACCGTGACTGAGTGTGGAATCATGGGAGTTGTGGTCTTCATCCCCACAGCCGATGTAATCCGACGGGACTCGGGCAGAAATCATGTTCATGGATGAGCTAGGGCTGGACAATAATTCAATATCAATACTCGGGTAGAAATCATGTTCATGGATGAGCTAATGATTTATTAACGTAGTAGAATGAAGCAGGGTGAGGCTGAAAGCCATCGAAGCGAAACGAGGCTGCTGAACGAGCGTGACACACGGCTCGAAAGCAGCGGAGCTTTTATTATGCCACAGTCGACCGCTTCCGCTCCTTCCGGTCGTGCGTATGTGGGGAAAAAAAGCAGCGCGGTTTTATCATACTTGATACATTTGAAAGTTCTGTTATAATGCTCTGTGCGGTCGTCACCGGTCTATTAAAATGCACAACATATTAAAGCGTCTTTGGTGTTTCCATGTTTTCTACAAAACAAAATCGGAAATCGAGGAGTTATGACGTCATTGGCAGGCGACACAATGACACTATGGACACGGTCCGTGTCACTAGTTAAAATTGCTTATTTCTCTGGATTTAAACATTCTCAAATACACAAACACAACTAACCGAATAATTGTAAATAGCGATAAGTAGGCAAAATACGCAAGCCTTCCCATGTATTTTTGTTTTTGTTAATATGGTACAAATACAGTCTTGAAATATGAAATACATCATCACTCAATGTTCAGTTTAACATCAGTTACATTGAGGCAAAACCAATTAAGAACCACAGTTCTAGGATGTATTGAGTGGCGTGTTCTTGTTCTCACGCCCTGCTCTGATTGGCAGAGAGCTGTTCATGTCTGATCAGGTGACATGTGGATGTTCAGTACAGCGATTTGATCAATACTTAATTTACATTAGAGATTAGAGAGAATCGGCTATGAGACTGACAGCAAACCATATGTCAGGATGACAGCGCTGTGCTCTCTTTTATCCTGCTTGTCTCTGTTTCTCTCTCTCTCTCTCTCTCTCTCTCTCGTTGTATCATTAAATAAGGCTGTCATTGAGCCATATGAACTCTTTTGACCCTGATATACACGACACCATGCATTTTTATCTACATATTAGCTTTAAAACAGCAACAGTACAGAGTTTTACCTGCATCTAGGAGAGGTGAGATATTGCCATCTAGTGTTGATGGTCTGTACTAATTGCTTTCCTCAATAGAAAGAAAAAACAACCTCATATCTCAGTTATTGGTAAACAAGAGTTTGTTGTGTAATTTTCAGTTTTTTACCCAAAAAAACATCCCAAGCAAACGACCGCTGTGCTAGCGGTCAGGATAGGAGGAAGTGTGTTTTGCTAATGAATTATAGATGAGGTGCTTTGTAATTCGAGTACGTCTTTTGTTTACCACTTTGAATGCCTGATGAGGTTTCTGTGCCCTTCATTTACAAATTATGCTAATTGTACCTGACAGTTTGTCACGTACGGCCCCCTCTTGTTTGATGTGCCCTTTTGTTGACACCTGCTCTTCCTGCTTCCAGTGCCTTTCAGGGAAACGCCTTCCTACATAAGTCGCCGGCACATGACCGGAGGCGACACGCTGACATCATCACGCTTGCTGCCTCGCTCCGCCTCCGACAACAATCTGAACAACGTGGCTGTCACAGGCCCCGCCCACTCGCCCGTGCCATCTCTGAGGAGCCTGCCCCCTCTGGCGCACACCGGGATCGACGCAGCGGCCGACGGCAGCCTGCAGAGCACGGGCAGCTCGCTCTCCTCGCACTCCCGCTCGCCCTCCCTCCAGCGCGTCAGCGAGGAGCCCGGCACGCACGCAGTACGCCGACACACGTCCCTCACGCACTCCCACAGCCGCGGACGCCTCAGGTGAGCATCGCACATCCACAGTCCTGATTTGCACCTGCGGAACTCAAAAGTTTTGCACCATCCAAATTGCCTGCACATTGGGAGTTTGATTATTAAATATTTTGCTAATTTGATTATGCACTTCAGTATTCTTCATACACTATAAAAAAGCTGGGTTTGAAAACAACCCAACCCAATTACCAACTTATAGAGTTAAACAAAATTGCTTTTTGAAAAGTCTATGAAAATTGTTGAATGAACCAAATTTGACCAGTTGTTTTGTTGATTTGTTCTCTTCCGCCAATGAAAATAGTCCCACTACAGGCAAAGCCTCAGGCTTTAAGTGCCGCTAAGAAACACACAGACCATTAAAAACCTAAATTGGGTCTAATTAATACAGTTTCCATAGCCATCAGTCTCAACCCAACATTTTTTAGAGTGTACTAGACTATTCATCTTACCACAATTTTTCCATGTTTATATCCATCCCCATCAAATCAGTGCAGAAAAGTCTACAGATTCTGTCTGGGCTTGTGAATATTTACTCCTCCGGTAACGGCTCTGTCAAATGATCATTGATTAATTGTAACTCTCAACATATCAGTCAGACATCGGCAGACATCAAACACTGACAAAGTGTGATTCTATTTCTAAAATATTCACCTGCAATTCAGTTGTACCATTGGGTTTGGACTATGGTATTTTTTTTTTTTTTCCTCAGGGTGAAACTATTGAAGGAGTGATTTAAAAATATAAATAGTAAGATATATGATAATTATTAGTATTGTCATTTTGACATGTTAGTCAAATTAATCATAATCAGTTGCAAATTAATAGAGTTTAGCTAAAATATATATATATATTTTCTTAATCAGTATATTTGTCTTGTTTACCAGTCAATTTTATTTAAATATCCTTTAAAAAAGATAAATTTACTATGGTACTTTGAAATATACCATGGTACTGAAATTCATGTTGAATGGCATTTACATGGTTTTTCCAAGAATACCGTTAAAGTAGCATGCCACATGTTATGGTATAATACTATAGTATAATACATAGTGTTAAGTATACTATGTTACTTTGAAGCATGCCATAGTACTTCCAAGAACAGGATGCTACTACCCTGGAACATATTCAAAGTACCATAGTATTCCCTTCTGATTCCATCACTGTACCACAGAGTGGACACAGTCATTTTTTTGTAAGAGTAATGCCATGGTAGTGGTTAATCATATTCGCGTACTATACCATATTAGCATAAATGATACTTCACGGAATACCATGGTATTACGATTAAATTGCTTGTTTTCCATGTATGTGTTTTTATGATAATACTGTAGTGTTTTTCAAAGGCGGTAATGTGTGTAGTTTTGTGAGTGTGTTTTATTTATAAGCCCATTTATTTATGGCTGCTGAGACCTGTATTGAATGAAGTCACTCGGATTCCTCTCCATCTAAAATACTCATACTGTTGTAATCTATCACATCCTCATGAAGCAGCATTTGATCGACATTTGCTGCTTTTAAATCGTGCTATTCAAATGTTTAATATATATTCCGATTAGACTCTCCTCTCCTGCAGAGCTGCAGGACATTGCTGGAATCGACTGTGTTTTTGGGACTCCAACAGGCCTTATTGAATTTCTTAGCGATATTGCTCTGAATCTCATATTGTGTATTTATTGCAGGGAGATGATTGACAGGTTTTTAGAGATTGTGAGACATGGCACTTTATAATTGTCGCTTCTAAATGGTAGAAAATGTTAAACTTACATGATGGATTCATTTGAAATTCAAACTCTTAGTGTTGCGTCTGATGTAAATAAGAAATACTTTGAATTATAGCAAAAGTTGGTGAGTACTGGGTGTTTTGCAGCGCTAATCAGCACAAATCTGTCATTGGAGACGCAGCAGAGGTTGTTTATCACCACACTGCCTTTTATAGCAGGTGTAATTTTTCTACTGTCTGAAACACTCATCTGAAATGTACTAAATCACACCATTATGTGTAGGGTTGTCAAAAGTACTGACTAATATTTTTAAAAATGTGACGATACCAGCATTTCCCACAAGCATTTTGAGCACGGATTCTTAAACACCTCTGATTGGCTATTGTGTTCACATGCTCAACAGATATGTCTGTGATTGGCTACAATGAGCATTACATGGATACACACGGGAGAGTTTGAAAGCCACGTCTATCAGCGGATCTGTATATGAGCAGATCTATATAGTAGGGATCCACTGATGGATCTGGCGACATTTCTCAGGAAATATTCAAATTAATTCAGTGGGATTAATGCATTAAATGAATCAGCATATCATTTATCATTATGTGTTTGTATTGAATTAAATATGAATAAACAACTGTTCAAAAAATTTGGGTTCAGTAAGATATTTTTTTTTATGTTTTTGAAAGTTTCTTAAGCTCACCAAGGCTGCATTTATTTGCAAAAAAAAATACTATTAACAGTAATTTTGTAAAATATATTTTTACACTTTAAAATGTGTATTTTAGAATGTAATTTATTCCTGTGATGACAATGAATTTTCAGCAGTCTTCAGTGTCACATGATCCTTCAGAAATCAGTATAATATGCTGATTTGCTGCTCAAGAAACATTTCTTATTATCAATGTTGAAAACAGTTGTGCTACTTAATATTTTTGTGGAAACTATGATTTTTTTTTCCTCTTCAGGATTATGTGAAGAATAAAAAGTTCAAAAGTACAGCATGAAATAAAAATCTTTTGTAACATTATGTCTTTACGATCGATTTAATGTGTCCTTGCGGAATATTTCTTTAAAAAAAAGAGTTACTGACCCCACATTTTTGAACAGTACTGTACATTTAACAGTACTGTACAAGTTTTTCTTGAATGGATTATAAATCTCAATGCATTTTTGGATTTACCTTTTTCACAAAGCATAATGCCCTTTCACTTCGCATTTTGGCAAAACTTGGAAGCAGCTTTTGTGTGTGTGTGTGTGTGTGTAGGGTTAGGGTAAGTTGATAGAAAATACAGTTTGTACAGTATTAAAACCATAATGCCTATGGAGAGTCCCTGTAAACAACATATGCAAGAGTGCGCGTGTGTGTGTGTGTGTGTGTGTGTGTGTGTGTTCAGATGTCTGTGGTGCCTTAAAATGTTTCCTAGATAGGGATCTTACTACAGATCTAAACAGAATATTTCAAAATGGCTAAATATTCCACAGGATTGATAATGCTGTTTTGTAGGTTAGAAAAGTAATGGCTACTTTCTGAATCAGTTCTTTTGTGCTGTTTAACTTCACTTCTGCAAAACGAGTGGCTTTGTGTGCTAATTTGGACCTCAGGACTCAAATTTTACCAGCAGGTGTAGGGTACTTCTGCCGCAGAACAACACTTTAGGGCTCACTCTCTTTCTTTGTGTGGTCCTGAGGGGCGTTTGCGGTGTTCTGTCCTAGTTGTCCATCTGTCAGTATTTCCTGACATCCTGGCCCGCTTATAATCAGAACCACCAGCGCCTGTTTGTGTGGTTTGCGGTGTGTTTGTGTTTAATACACAGAATGTGATGATACCAACAGGAATTAAGCCAAAGCGCCTGTCCTTGGTGTCCGGCGTTCTATAAAAGTCCCCTCTCTTTCTCTCTGGTCATTGCCCTTTGTCTGGCTGTGTCCACCTGTCACTCCCTGAGGTGAGTGTGGTGACCAGGAGAGTGTGTAATTAGTGCCGTAGCTGTGCGGTCAGCGCTGGCTGCCCACTTCCTGTTCAGGGTGAGATTCGAGGCCATGACACGTTGTTCTAAATATTGTGGAAGTGGATTTAGAGATCACAGGTCGCTGGGTGCACAAGCGGCAACAGCACAGAGGAATCAAAGGTCAGAGGTCAAACACAAGTGTTATTGGTTGACGGTGTATGATATCAAGTTAAATTTGTCCCTTGCTATGATATGAATCCTTCAGTTATAAAAAGAAAATATGAGGTTTAGATCGAGGTGATGTTGTCACTGAATATATCTTAAACTGTTTGCCTGTACCTCAAAGTCCTTGGCAAATATTTAAACAACCATAGTTGTTCATGTTTAATGAGATTAGATAATAATGAATTGGGAATATTTATATGATATAACATTTGCAACAAGAAAGTTAGTGTGACAGTAGCTCAGCCACTTTATTTACTCTTTAGATATTATAAATATCTAAATATTTAACATTCTTAAATCAAAATACATTTACCTGAGAAGCAAAATTACATAAAGTCTAAAGTGTTTTTTTCTGAAAATTCAAATTTCAAAATCAAAGTGACTTTATGGTTAATACCAGAAAAAAAAAAATCTGCCAGTGGTGTAAGAAAAATAAACAAAAAATCTATTTTGAATTATGTTTTTCTTCTTATCCCATTGGCAGATATTTTATAAACTCACTTTTTTTTTTCAAAAAACAACATATAATATCTTAATATCATTTTGCTTCTCATGTAAATGTATCTTGATTTAAGAATATTTTTGAGAATATAATTTTTTTTAATATAATGTACTGTATATTTTGAATATAATATAATGCAGCTTTGCAGCTAAATTTAAGTATTTCTGGAAGCTAAAACCAAACACTGTTGCTAGGTCAATGGTCATTTTTAAAATCATCGGACATTAATAAGTCTCCGGTCACCAACATTAATTAATTTGGTCAAAAATATCAAACACCAAATGCATGTTTCCTTTTTACAGCCATATGATCTCAAAAAATTTCAGGACTGACTCCTGTGTTCTTACACACACACACACACAATGCTAATTTATGGGATTCATTCCCATATTTAAATGTCATTGTCAGTCCTAAAATGTTGGCCTTTAAGCAGTTATATAATATAATATATGAGACAGCATCTTGATGAAGTCTGTCATAGACAGAGTGTTCAGAAATAATGAACCGTCTGGGATATTGTTCTTTTGGATGTCATTGAATAAGTAAAGGTGACATGCACATTACAAATTTTTGCTCAGCTCAGTAGTAGCTGTTTGAATTAGCTAGTGATAT